CTTGATCACTATTAATCAGAATAATTTGAGCGTGTTCTTCTTCTTCTTGACCATTGATGGCCTGATAAATCCTACTCCTGCAAACCTATGTCAACTTTCCTCCACATCTAAATGTGATGAGTTTGCGGTAAGATAAGATAACCAACACCAGGCAGGGTATCAGTCAAGCAAGACCTGATGAGACGTTTGATATGTGCCCTAGCCTACCACGCAAAGGCACTATGGATTTTTTCCCCCTGGTTGACACAGACATGCTCAGGAAAGTGATATCACAACTTAAGCCTGCTACCTGCCTTCTCAATCCTATCCCCACCACCTTCTTCAAAACAGTTTTTAATTGCATATCTGAAGAAGTGCAAGCTATTGTTAATCACTCCCTGTTCACAGGCACCTTCCCCACTGTACTAAAAACTGCTATGGTGAAACCCCTTCTGAAGAAAAGTCATCTAGATTCTTCAGCTCTTAGCAATTTTTGGCCAATCTCCAACCTTTCATTCTTAAGCAAAATCCTGGAGAAATTGGTGTTCAAACAGCTAAATTATTCAAACAGCTAAATGACTCCAGACTGGAGAGGAGGGTTGGCCTTTCTGTGTCCAGTTCTAAGTTGGTTTAGGAACTATTTAACCGGTCGAGAGTTTTTTGTCACCCTTGGTGAACATAACTCAGAGAAAATACATATCACATGTGGTGTTCCACAAGGTTTGATTTTGGGTCCGGTACTGTTCAGTTTATACAGTATACACTACATGACCAAAGGTATGTGGACATTTGCTCGTCAAACATCTCATCCCAGAAACATGGGCATTAATATGGAGTTGGTCCCCCCTTTGCTGTTATAACAGCCTCCTCTCTTCTGGGAAGGCTTTCCACTAGATGTTGGAACATTGCTGCTGGGACTTGCTTCCATTCAGCCACAAGAGCACGGGGGTATTGTCATGCTGAAACAGGAAAGGGCCTTCCCCAAACTGTTGCCACAAAGTTGGAAGCACAGAATTGTCTAGAATGTCATTGTATGCTGTAGCATTAATATTTCCCTTCACTGGAACTAAGGGGCCTAGCCTGAACCATAAAAAACAGCCTCAGACCATTATTCCTCCTCCACCAAACTTTACGGTTAGCACTATGCATTGGGGCATGTAACGTTCTCCTGGCATCCGCCAAACCCAGATTTGTCCGTCGGACTGCCAGACTGTGAAGTGCGATTCATCACTCCAAAGAACGCGTTTCCACTGCTCCAGAGTTCAATGGCGGTGAGCTTTACACCACTCCAGCCGAAGCTTGGCATTGCGCATGGTGACCTTAGACTTGTGTGCGGCTGCTCGGCCATGGAAACCCATTTCTTGAAGCTCCCAACTAACAGTTATCGTGCTGACGTTGCTTCCAGAGGCAGTTTGGAACTCGGTAGTGAGCGTTGCAACCGAGGACAGACGATTTTTAACCGCTACGCGCTTCAGCACTCGGCGGTCCCATTCTGTGAGCTTGTGTGGCCTACCACTTCGCGGCTGAGCCGTTGTTGCTCCTAGACGTTTCCACTTCACAATAACAGCACTTACAGTTGACCGGGGCAGCTCTAGCAATGCAGAAATTTGACGAACTGGCTTGTTGGAAAGGTGGCGCCCTATGACAGTAACACGTTAAAAGTCACTGAGCTCTTCAGTAAGGCCATTCTACTGCCAATGTTTGTCTATGGAGATTGCATGGCTGTGTGCTCGATTTTATACACATGTCAGCAACGTGGCTGAAATAGCCGAATCAACTAATTTGAAGGGGTGTCCACATACTTTTGTAAATATAGTGTATGTTACCCCTTGGCAGTGTTATCAGAAAGCACAGCATTGATTTTCACTGCTATGCAGACGATACACAACTTTATATTTCTGTGTCACCAGAGGATTTTAGCTCCACGGATAACTTATTACTGTATTAGTGATTTAAATACTTTGATGGCTCACGACTTCCTCCAGCTAAATCAAGACAAGACTGAGGTACTTATTGTTGGAGCCAAAGCACAGAGAGGAAATCTAGCCGCACAGATAAAGATAAAACACCAGGTAAAAACCTACGTGTTATTTAAGATTCTGAACTCAATTTCGAATCACACATTAGGAATGTGACCAAAATATATTTTTACCACCTGAGGAACATTGCCAAGGTGCGGCCGTTTCTCTCTCAGGCTGATAAAGAGAGACTCACCCATGCTTTTATTACAAGCAGGCTTGACAACTGTAATGCTCTCCTGTCTGTCCCAAGAAAGCCATTGGTCAACTACAAAACATACAGAATGCTGCAGCACGGGTACTGACCAAGACCAGACGGAGAACACACATTACACTGGTTTTAAGCTCTCTGCACTGGCTGCCTGTGAGTTTTATAATTAATTTTAAGATTCTTCTATTGGTTTTTAAACCAATGCATGATTGTGCACCCCAGTACACACCAGACCTGCTTTTAAGTTATGCACCAGTAGGTCACTCAGGTCCTCTGGCACTGGCCTTTTAACTATCCCAAAGCCTAGGACCAAGAGGCATGGAGAGGCAGCCTTTACATACTATGCCCCCAAGCTCTGGAATAGCTTGCCAGAGAACCTGAGGGGAGCTGAAACTGTGGACATATTTAAAAGATCTTAAAACACATATTTTTAGCTTTGCTTTTCCTTAAGGTGCTTTTTAGTTGTTCAGTTTGTGTCATTCTTTTGTTTTTTAACATATGTTTGTTGTGTAGTAAATATTTCAGCTTTTATTCTCATTGTTTTTTATTAGTTGTTTCCTGTAAAGCACATTGCGTTGCATTCCAGGTCTTAAATGTGTTGTATAAATAAATCTTGATTTGATTTGATTTGACATAGGATCAGGGCACTATCCACAAAGCGTATCAGAGGAGGAGTGCTGATCTAGGATCCGTTTTGACTTTTAGATCATAATGAATAAGATTACATGGACAGATGGGACCTGGGAGAACCTAGACCTCCACGTTTTGTGGATATGGGCCCTGGTCCCACTTGTCCATATAATCTTATACATTATGATCTAAAAGGCTGAACTGATCCTAGATCAGCACTCCTACTTTATGACACATACGGCTCCTGGTTAAGGCTACTTCCTCGCTACCCAACCACCCCAACACTGCATGAAAGCATGTATGAGAACGGAGCATGATGGGCAGGTAGGTAGGCACTTCCTCTGTGGTTGGTGGTGTGACATTTAAAAATGTGTTTACACATCCTCTTTTCTAATAAGGTGATAGTCTCATAAGGCCATCCTTGGCTAATAAAGGGATAGCCATCGGAAGAGGCCACTGTGTAGCATGCTACGCAGCATGCGTACTGCACTGACAGTGTGCAGCACATTCTGTACACCAGACATCACAGGGACGTAACAACGGTGGCTTCAGTAATTATTAACCCTTATTTCACATGATACATTTTACATTTTAGTCATTTAGCAGACGCTCTTATCCAGAGCGACATACAGTTAGTGAGTGCATACATTTTTCATACTGGCCCCCCGTGGGAAACGAACCCCCAACCCTGGCGTTGCAAGCGCCATGCTCTACCAACTGAGCTACAGGGGACTATTGAAGAGTTACATATGAAGAGTTTATTTTCAAAACGATATACAGTATACTGAACAAAAAATATACACGCAACATGCAACAATTTCAACGATTTTACTGAGTTACAGTTCATATAAGGAAATCAGTCAATTGAAATAAATTAATTGGGCCCTAATCTATGGATTTCACATGACTGGGCAGGGGCGTAGCCATGGGTGGGCCTGGGAGGGCATAGGCCCACCCACTTGGGAGCCAGGCCCACCCACTGGGGAGTCAGGCCCAGCAAATCAGAATTAGTTTTTCCCAACAAAAGACCTTTATTACAGGCATAAATACTCCTCAGTTTCATCAGCTGTCCGGGTGGCTGGTCTCTGACGATCCCGCAGGTGAAGAAGCCGGAAGTGGAGGTCCAGGGCTGGCGTGGTTACACGTGGTCTGCTGTTGTGAGGCCGGTTGGAAGTACTGCCAAATTCTCTAAAACGACGTTGGAGGTGGCTTATGGTAGAGAAATGAAAATTAAATTATCTGGCAACAGCTCTGGTGGACATTCCTGTAGTCAGCATGCCAATTGCACACTCAAAACTTGAGACATCTGTGGCTTTGTGTTGTGTGACAAAACTGCACATTTTAGAGTGGTTTTTTATTGTCCCCAGCACAAGGTGCACCTGTGTAATGATCATGCTGTTTAATCAGCATCTCGATATGCCACACCTGTCAGGTGGATGGAGTATCTTGGCAAAGGATAAATGCTCACTAACAGGGAAGTAAACAAATTTGTGCACAAAATTTGAGATAAATTAGCTTTTTGTGCTTATGGAACATTTCTGGGATCTTATATTTCAGCTCATGAAACATGGGACCAACACTTGTTGCGTTTATAATTTTGTTCAGTATATGTCCATTTTCAGAAATGTTGGTAAATTAGCTTTTATTGTTGAAAGAACTTATAAAAGAGATTGGTGGGTTTTCCCACTATCTAATCATGGCATAGGCTTGTTCAATGACAGGCATGTCTGTGTTTTTGGACAGCAACACTTCCTCATTGTCAAGGAAACTGCATGTGTTTGCTGGTGTGCTGAGAAACATGTGCTGGCTGATCTGGCTTCCTTTTTTGTGAGAGGCATGCATCTTTCCATTCTTGTGCTTTCCAGTGTGGATAAATGAAAACTCCTCAATATAAATTGTTCATGCTTTGGAAAAAATGTTGATTTTATTGTTTTTATTACATTATCGGGTAATAGACATGCGTTCTGTTGTTGTGAATTAACTTAATTCTTCCAAGCTATTATTTCTGATTGACTCTTTTGTTTCATTTAAACTACTGTACATATTGTAGCTGATACTTACAGGACGGTGCTGTGCACAATAATTGGGCTTTGCTACAGTACAGTGGACTGTTCATCCAGCCCTACAGGTGGCAATGTCGCAAAAGAGGACTACAACCTAATTTTCCACTGAAGGGGGAGATTCTTTGTAGAAGTGAACACATAGGCAATTGATAAGTTGTGAAGGCACCGGGGGAAGAAAAAAAAGCTCGCTTTTATAATAACGATTCCAACAGTTGATTTGCGTCGGTACATGCTTCATTGCTGCGAAAGTGGTTGAGTTGTTCGGCGTGTTGTCTACGCCAGGTGTTGGTGTTAGTGGGAGGAAAATGCAATCTTTTTCATGGAGGTAGGAACACATTGCGCTGATGCGGACGCCTCTGTAAACGGTCTTTTGAAATTGCATTCACTTTAAACCCAACGTAAAGCATTATTTTGTTGATTTGGCACAGCAAACTGCTAGTTGTCAATGTGAGTGTGCCCTTGTAAACAACAGTCGGATTGTGTAGGCGACGATATGTTTTGTTTTCAGGAAGATTGCAACATTGTACTTAGCTTCTAGAGCTAGCTGTTATGACAACAGTTAAACTAGTTACTTAGGTTCAAATGAATAAATGCAGAATAAAGACCCTTGCCGTGGCCATTGACATGATGTAGGTCTAGTCATGTAACTGTTAACACGTTTCAGCTTTTAGTCCATTCCTTTGGGTTGTGTAACCAGTCAGTTCAGATTTTCAAGTCTGTGTAATGTGATCCGTCCCTGTCAGGTATGTGAAAAAAACATGTACAAGTCAAGGCATTTATGGGTCCAGGCCGATATCCTAGTCTCAAATCATACAAGTGTGTATTCTAACCATTTACAACAATTAGGCTAACTGTTGCAGGGTACCTACTGTATATAAAAGCAACAAGGCCCTCTTTGCAATTGTGTAACATTCTAAGATGAACCATGCGATAAGTACATGAAATCCCGGCAACTGTGGCACGATTAGGCCTACTGTCCCTTCATGGAGCCTAAATGTGGCAATTTTTCAGTCCTGCCCTGATGTGAATGGCTTCAGCCTGCAGGTTGGTTGGTAGAAGTGCAGAGAGGACTGCATTCCTGCATGTAATGAGCTGCTTGTTCACAGCCCAGGTTGCACTGAGAGAAGCTGCAGTGGCCTGGCTGGCTGGCTTGGGGTAGAGGCGGCACACAAAGAGCCTCTGTCTGTCAAGCAGAGAAGGAGCCAGGCAGGCTGGGAACACACCTTTCACAGGCCTGATTAGGTTACTGGAGTATTTCAATCCATCACTCTAAAACCATGTGGGAAAAACATGCTGCTGACAGAGTTCTTCAATGGCTATGACTGATTTATTATGGTTAAATCAGTCCACTACATAACTTACCTGCCATGTCTCTGGTACTAATACTAGTATTTGTGTGTGTGCGTGCGCTGAAGGCTTTGGCCTGGCCTGGCGCTGATCCTCCTCCCGTCTACGCTGGCGGTGGACAAAGAGTTGTCGCTGCTGCAGGACTGGAACGACGTGTGGCTGTTCCGCTTCTTCCTCAACGTGCTGGGCTACGCCACCATCATCATTCCCGGCTACTTCCTCGTCACCTACTTGAAGAGGATCAACTACCTCGAAACAGGTGTGGATGATCTACAAACTGGTGATTACACACATGCTGCACTTATATGCTGGCATGCACGCAGACCCACACACACACAAATAGGACTACACTTTTTCTCCACATGACTAACACCTACCCATCTATCCGATATGAGTTAGTGTGTCCTTCAAGTTGCAATTCAGACTTTCTCTCTGTTAACATAACATGATCAGTATGTTGAATTTGATGGATCAGTGAATGGTTGATGTGTTCCGGATCTTGTTTATTCCCCTCCTCCCAGGCCGAGGCATTTGCTATCCTGTCATAAAGGCCTGTGTGTTTGGAAGTGAATCGAAGACTGGTCTCCTAGACGACGCATCCCTAGCTCCCAGAAATGACGTGGACTCGGGCTCGTCGGCCAGACAAGCCTTCAAGTTAGTCTTTTGTGCTGCAGGACTTCAGGTAGAGCACTTTGTGACGTGTAGTTCAAAGGGCTATATACAGTGCCTTCAGAAAGTATTCAAACCCCTTGACTTATTCCACATTTGGTTGCGTTACAGCTTGAATTCAAAATTGATTAAATTGATTTTTTTCTCACCCATCTACATACATTACCCAATAATGAAAAAGTAAAACATGCTAATTTATTGAAAATTAAATACGAAAATCTAATTTACATAAGTATTCACACCCCTGAGTCAGTACTTTGTAGAAGCACCCTTGGCAGCGATTACAGCTGTGACTCTTTCTGGGTAAGTCACTTTACTTTATTTAGTTTATTTTTTACAGGGACAGTGCACATTAATCAGCCTTTCAGTAAAAGTGCCGGTTTCAGCCGGCCGGCTAATTTTCAACCGTAGTCCCTGGGCAGGTTATTAAAAACTATTACAATAACAATACAGACAGACAATGAGCAGTGAGCACATGCAGAGCAACATAGGACAAGCAACACGTAGCACGCAGACAGACATAGGACAAGCAACACGTAGCACGCAGACAGACAAACATAGGACAAGCAACACGTAGCACGCAGACAGACAGAGAAACATAGGACAAGCAACACGTAGCACGCAGACAGACAGAGAAACATAGGACAAGCAACACGTAGCACGCAGACAGACAGAGAAACATAGGACAAGCAACACGTAGCACGCAGACAGAGAAACATAGGACAAGCAGCACGCAGACAGACAGACAGACAGACATAGGACAAGCAGCACGCAGACAGACAGAGAAACATAGGACAAGCAGCACGCAGACAGACAGAGAAACATAGGACAAGCAACACGTAGCACGCAGACAGACAGAGAAACATAGGACAAGCAACACGTAGCACGCAGACAAACCACAAAACAAAATACATAAAAGCAACAAACAGTGTTTCTACACCTCACAAGCTACAGAACACAGATAACATGGAAAGCAGCAATACACAGCTAGGGATTATGTTCACAAGTCTGATTGGCCTTTAGCCATGTCTTTGTTTTTTTGTGAAGTGCGATAGGTGGTGCAGTTATGTGTGTCTGATGGCAGTGTCTTCCAGACATGGGAAGCTCTCATAGAGAAAGCAGTTTGACTAAAGGTGCTATTCCTTAAGGGAACTATACAATCACCTCTCATGGCAGGGGGGGAGCTAGACCATTTAGGATCTTGAATACAAGACATGCGTCGGTGTATTGCACAAGATTTTCCCAGCTCAGGAACTCATGCTTTCTGAAGATGTAATAGTGATGATGTCTATCAAGCACTCTGAGAGCCTGTTTGTGGACTGATTGAATGGGTTTTAATGTTGTACAGCAAGCTTGGGCCCAACTAGTCAAGCAGTATGTTAAGTGGGGGAGTATCTTAGCATTGAAGTACAGTTTTGCTGCCTTTGTAGTCAAACAATTTCATATGTATCGGAAAGTAGCTAGGTTGAATTTGGTTATTTGATTTCCCTTTTTCACCTGCTTTTTGAAAGAATGGTTGGAATCAAGTATGATGCCAAGGTATTTAAAATGGGATACCACCTGGCGCGTCTCCTCTGACACATAGACATCTGCCTCAGTAGCATCAGTTGCCCTCTTTGTAAAGAACATGCAGACTGTTTTTTTCACATTGAGATGCAAACATGAGTCACTGAGTCACTTTGTAACATGGACCATCGCCGTAGTGAATTATTGTGCAGCTTGTTTTCTCTTTGCATGCACATAAATCACTGTATCATCTGCATACATTTGTATTTCAGATCCAGTACAGACATAAAGTAGATCATTAATGTACAAGTTGAACAGGAGGTGCCCCAGTATTGACCCTTGGGGCATGCCCACATCATAGCTGAGGGTGGGTGACATCTCATTGCTCACTCTGACACACTGGGTTCTGCCTTCAAAGTATGATTTCATCCATCTCAAGGCATCGAGGTGGTAAAGTTGAACCTAGACAGTTTTGGGATGAGAACCTCATGGTTAACAGTATCAAAGGTTTTCCTTAGGTCTAGAAACACAGCCCCAACAATGCCCCCTTTGTCCATCTTGGACTTCACAATTTCCAGAAGAAAGCAGTTGGCCGTTTATGTGGAGTGGTTTGCTCTGAAGCCCAAACTGCATGGAGTGTAATGTGAAGGGGCTGTTGTTGAGTTGGGCAATCAGTTGCTCTGCTAGACACTTTTCAGCACCACAGGTAGTATACTAATGGGTCACCTGATTTAAAGATGGACGTTATTATGGCCGACCTCCAGACCCTTGGAAACACCCCCTGACCAATAGATGTATTGGTGACCTTAGTAATGGGGCCAGTGAGTGACACTTTTTTTTTTTTTTTTTTTTTTTTTTAAGAAAGGTAGAGTCCAGCCCAAACACATCTTTGTCTTTAGAGAGCTAATCACCTTGTTCACCTCTGACTCAGAAACCTCCCTTATGGTGAAGACAAGACAGGTTGAGTTATTCACTGGCGCTGAACCCTTAGGTATTCTGAGCTGATCAGGCTTTCTAACAGTAGAGAGGTTAAACCTGTTATTAGAAAGCTTTCTGGCTATGAGTGTCACATTATGGTAAGACAGCCCAGTAACCATATAGAATGATTTAGTCACGCTTTCTGGTATATTACTGAACACCAGATCAATATGTGTTTTAGAAGAACACCACGCCGACAGTAGATTGTCATCCCAGCAAGGACACACTGAGATGATCAGTAGAGCATCTACATACATAGCTGACAATTGTGGCAATGCACTGGAGATAAAACTCATAATTGCACTTTAAATCTTTGCGAGAGTTACTTAGCTGGGGTCGGTGTATACCTGATCTTTTAGATAAAATAACAGAATCTGGAGGAGAAGCGGCACCTGCCGCACCGCCCTCCCTTCGATCCGCCAGCTTTAAGAACTTTGCACACCTGGATTGTACAGTATTCTTTTAAAAATTCTTCAAGCTCTTTCAAGTTGGTTGTTGATCATTACTAGACAGCCATTTTCAAGTCTTGCCATAGGTTTTCATGACGATTTTAAGTCCAAATTGAAACTAGGCCACTCAGGAACATTCAATGTTGTCTTTGTAAGCAACTCCAGTGTATATTTTGCTCTGTGTTATTGTCCTGCTGAAAGGTGAATTTGTCGCAAAGTGTCTGTTGGAAAGCAGACTGACCCAGATTTTCCTCTAGGATTCTGCCTGTGCTTAGCTCTATTCTGTTTATTTTTATCCTGCAAAACTCCCTAGTCCTTGCCGATGACAAGCATACCCATAACATTTTAAATTTTTAGTCATTTAGCAGATGCTCTTATCCAGAGCGACTTACAGTGGGGGAAAAAAAGTATTTAGTCAGCCACCAATTGTGCAAGATCTCCCACTTAAAAAGATGAGAGAGGCCTGTAATTTTCATCATAGGTACACGTCAACTATGACAGACAAAATGAGATTTTTTTTTTCCAGAAAATCACATTTTTGGATTTTTAATGAATTTATTTGCAAATTATGGTGGAAAATAAGTATTTGGTCAATAACAAAAGTTTCTCAATACTTTGTTATATACCCTTTGTTGGCAATGACACAGGTCAAACGTTTTCTGTAAGTCTTCACAAGGTTTTCACACACTGTTGCTGGTATTTTGGCCCATTCCTCCATGCAGATCTCCTCTAGAGCAGTGATGTTTTGGGGCTGTCGCTGGGCAACACGGACTTTCAACTCCCTCCAAAGATTTTCTATGGGGTTGAGATCTGGAGACTGGCTAGGCCACTCCAGGACCTTGAAATGCTTCTTACGAAGCCACTCCTTCGTTGCCCGGGCGGTGTGTTTGGGATCATTGTCATGCTGAAAGACCCAGCCACGTTTCATCTTCAATGCCCTTGCTGATGGAAGGAGGTTTTCACTCAAAATCTCACGATACATGGCCCCATTCATTCTTTCCTTTACACGGATCAGTCGTCCTGGTCCCTTTGCAGAAAAACAGCCCCAAAGCATGATGTTTCCACCCCCATGCTTCACAGTAGGTATGGTGTTCTTTGGATGCAACTCAGCATTCTTTGACCTCCAAACACGATGAGTTGAATTTTTACCAAAAAGTTATATTTTGGTTTCATCTGACCATATGACATTCTCCCAATCCTCTTCTGGATCATCCAAATGCACTCTAGCAAACTTCAGACGGGCCTGGACATGTACTGGCTTAAGCAGGGGGACACGTCTAGCACTGCAGGATTTGAGTCCCTGGCGGCGTAGTGTGTTACTGATGGTAGGCTTTGTTACTTTGGTCCCAGCTCTCTGCAGGTCATTCACTAGGTCCCCCCGTGTGGTTCTGGGATTTTTGCTCACCGTTCTTGTGATCATTTTGACCCCACGGGGTGAGATCTTGCGTGGAGCCCCAGATCGAGGGAGATTATCAGTGGTCTTGTATGTCTTCCATTTCCTAATAATTGCTCCCACAGTTGATTTCTTCAAACCAAGCTGCTTACCTATTGCAGATTCAGTCTTCCCAGCCTGGTGCAGGTCTACAATTTTGTTTCTGGTGTCCTTTGACAGCTCTTTGGTCTTGGCCATAGTGGAGTTTGGAGTGTGACTGTTTGAGGTTGTGGACAGGTGTCTTTTATACTGATAACAAGTTCAAACAGGTGCCATTAATACAGGTAATGAGTGGAGGACAGAGGAGCCTCTTAAAGAAGAAGTTACAGGTCTGTGAGAGCCAGAAATCTTGCTTGTTTGTAGGTGACCAAATACTTATTTTCCACCATAATTTGCAAATAAATTCATTAAAAATCCTACAATGTGATTTTCTGGATTTTTTTTTCTGAATTTGTCTGTCATAGTTGACGCGTACCTATGACGAAAATTACAGGCCTCTCTCATCTTTTTAAGTGGGAGAACTTGCACAATTGGTGGCTGACTAAATACTTTTTTTCCCCACTGTACATTTTCATACCACCACCATGCTTGAAAATATAAAGTGGTACTCTGTGACGTGTTGTGTTGGATTTGCCTCAAACATAACGCTATGTATTCAGGACAAAAAGTTAATTTCTTTGCCACATTTTTTGCAGTTTTACTTTAGTGCATTATTGCAAACAGGATGCATGTTTTGAAATATTTTTTATTCTGTACAGCCTTCCTTTTCACTCTGTCATTTAGGTTAGGATTGTGGAGTAACTACAATGATCTTGATCCATCCTTAGTTTTCTCCTATCACAACCATTTAATTCTGTAACTGTTTTAAAGTCACCATTGGCCTCATGGTAAAATCCCTGAGCGGTTTCCTTCCTCTCTGGCAACTGAGTTAGGAAGGATGCCTGTATATTTGTAGTGACTGGGTGTATTGATACACCATCCAACATGTAATTAATAACTTCACCATGTTCAAAGGGATATTCAATGTCTGTTTTTTTAGTTTTTTTTACCCATCTACCAATAGGTGCCCTTCTTTGCGAGGTATTGGAAAACCTCCCTGGTCTTTGTGGTTGAATCTGTGTTTGAAATTCACTGCTCGACTGAGGGACCTTACAATTATCTGTATGTGTGGGGTACAGAGATGAGGTAGTCATTCAAAAATCATGTTGAACACTATTTTTGCACAACTTATTATGTGACTTGATAAGCAAATGTTTACTCTTTAACTTATTTAGGCATGTCATAACAAAGGGGTTGAATACTTATTGACGCAAGACATTTCAGCTTTTCATTTTTTATTAATTTGCAAACATTTCTTGTGATGCTGTGAGGAAAAGGGTTTATGTTTATTAAAATGTTTATTTTTAATTCACAATCTGTAGAAGCAATGAGAATAGAAAGGTTCAGAACTTTTGTAAAACATCACAGTACGGTTGAAATATATATGGCAAATAGAAATCCTATATGGATGGTGTTAAGAGATAGATGGGAGGTATTGAATAGAGTTGAAGGATGGGACTAATAACAAATAACAACAAATAATAACAAAGATAGCTAATAATGTAAGCATACTGTGTCCATAATAAGTATATAGGTTGTATGTTGGGAGCTTTTGGGAAAGAGCACAGTTAGAAAGATATGGCATATAGAAGCAAACCGGATGGACATCATGAAAATGATCGGAGAGGTTGAGAGTAGAAGAAGTTCAGGAGCAAAAAAAAAAAATATATATATATATATATATAATAGAATTATTGTAAAATTAACTCTGTCCATAAGGTGTAGATAGTAAGTATAGACCGGAAGTAGAGGCCTGGGCATTGTTCACTAATTTACTCCAAGTAGGGAAAGGATGGTGGGGTTGAAAAGTAATAAAGGGGAGTATATATAAAAACATGGGGGATTGGAAGTGATGCAGACAATTACATTGATAGAAGATACAATCTATCTGCAATATTAAGCTGATCCATTCCCCCCAAAAAATAAATAAATAAATAAAAACATTTCTAAAAAGATGATTCCACTTTGACATTATGGGGTATTGTGTGTAGGCCAATGACACAAAATCTCAATTTAACCACTTTTAAATTCAGGCTGTAACAACAAAATGGGGAAAAAGTCAAGGGGTGTAAATACTTTCTGAAGGCTCTGTAAATAAAATGTATTGAATTTGAGTGGGTAGATTCTATATCTTTAAACTGCAATGCAAACATATTGACCTATTCACGTTCATATCTAATGCACTTCATATTGTTTAGTCTCCTTCTCTGTTATCCTGTTGTCTCTCCAGGCATCCTACCTGACATGGGGTGTCCTACAGGAGAGGGTGATGACGCGCTCGTACGGGGCTTCCACCCCCGAGGAGGAGGGCGAGCGCTTCAAGGACTCCCAGTTCCTGGTGTTCATGAACCGTATCCTGGCGCTGACCGTGTCAGGCCTGTGGTGTGTCCTGTTCAAGCAGCCCCGCCACGGCGCACCCATGTACAAGTACTCGTTCGCCTCGCTCTCCAACGTCCTCAGCAGCTGGTGCCAGTACGAGGCCCTCAAGTACATCAGCTTCCCCACCCAGGTGCTGGCCAAGGCCTCTAAAGTGATCCCCGTCATGCTCATGGGAAAGATTGTGTCGCACAAGAGCTACGAGTACTGGGAGTACCTGACGGCGGCGCTCATCTCGCTGGGCGTCGGCATGTTCTTGCTGACGAGCGCGACCGATAAGCACCCGTCTACGGTCACGACGTTCAGCGGCGTGGTCATCTTGGGTGGCTACATTGTCTTCGACAGCTTCACGTCCAACTGGCAGGACAACCTGTTCAAGCACAAGATGTCGTCTGTGCAGATGATGTTCGGCGTCAACCTCTTCTCCTGCCTCTTCACCATGGGCTCGCTGCTGGAGCAGGGCGCCTTCTTCGACTCGCTGGCCTTCATGATGCGCCACTCAGAGTTCGCCTTCCACACCATGCTGCTGTCGGTGTGCTCGGCGTGTGGCCAGCTCTTCATCTTCTACACCATCGCGCAGTTCGGCGCCGCCATCTTCACCATCATCATGACCCTGCGGCAGGCCATCGCCATCCTGCTCTCCTGCTTCCTGTACGGCCACGCCGTCACCAAGGTGGGGGGCTTTGGCATGGCCGTGGTCTTCCTCGCTCTCTTCATGCGCGTCTACGCCCGCAGCCGCATGAAGGCGGGACGCAAGGCGCCACAGCCACAGGTGCAGAAGGTCTAGGAGGAGGAGTTGGAGGGAACTGGAAAATGAACTGAAGCCACGTTTTGGTGGTGCTTTTTCTCGTCTGTCTGTGTGTCCAGTTTGACATTTTATGGGTTTCTACTTTGTATAGGAAAGGTACAGAAAGGGATTCTAATGCCGTCGTCACAGAGGTCAACGGGAGTTATTAGACTAAACCAATCAGCAGTCACAGGCGTTTAAATTACACAGCAACCGTCGCTTGTCCGTTTTGTATCTGAAACCCAGCTCAAAAGCATACAACATTGGCATTTGAAATGTAAACAACTGATAAAATGGCTGACGCCTTTGATTTCTGCCTCCGTGATATGCTTCTGGAGCAGCGCTCAGAAAACATACATTTGACATTTGCGGTATAGTTTTGCCGTAAGCGCTAGTACATGAACTCTGTACTGCAAGACTCCAGCTATTGGTAATGTAACATTGCGAATGGCACCATATTAAGTGGCTTATAAGGCCTCTGAAAAGTGACTTTGACAGTGAGAGAACATGAGATAGTGGTGAGCAGGCCCCAAGGTCCCATTTATGGATCATCTCTGTGTAGATACTGTACCAATTTTGTTTAAAAACGATGTAATTATTGCATTGTTCTACTTTTTGGACATGGCATGAGAGAAATGTTCGGTGATCGTTACTAGCCAATGATCCGGTAATTCTGCTTGAGAGTATTTTATTTGTTCTGTATAAAGAAGCTGGTATGTTTGAGGGCGCTTCACTTTGGGCAGTATTCTGACTTGAGATTTACGCACTTAACTTACATTTTCGCAAGTCTACCATTGACATGAATTAAGGATTTACGCGAACGTCCGAGCTGTGCAAACCCATATCTCAAGTCAAAATACCGCCCTTTCAGATAATAGAAAAAACAGTTCATACATCTTTAGTTGACTTGATGTTTTGTCCCTCATGGCTTACCATAGTATGTCTGATAAGGAATGTTACTGATAGTGTCCCCACAGAGAGAACTAAACCCTTTTCCTCACAGCATCACAAGAATAAATGCACAGCTTACCAGCAAACCATCAAAAAGGACTTTGCAGCAATTAATGTTCTATTTTATATGGAACTGGGAGTGTGTGTGTGTATACAGTGCCTTCGGAAAGTATTCAGACCCCTTAATTTTCCACGTTTTGTAACGTTACAGCCTTATTCTAAAATGGACTAAATCGTTTTTTCCCCCTAATCAATCTACACACAATATTCCATAATGATAAGGCAAAAACAGGTTTAGAAATGTTTGCAAATGTATTAAAAAAATGAAAATTACATTTACATAAGTATTCAGACCCTTTACTCAGTACTTTTGTTGAAGCACCTTTGGCAGCGATTACAGCCTCAATTCTTTTTGGGTATGACGCTACAAGCTTGGCACACCTGTATTTGGGGAGTTTATCCTATTCTTCTCTGCAGATCCTCTCAAGCTCTGTCAGGTTGGATGGGGAGCGTCGCAGCACAGCTATTTTCAGGTCTCGCCAGAGATGTTCGATCTGGTTCAAGTCCGGGCTCTGGCTGGGCCACTCAAGGACATTCAGAAGCCACTCCTGCGTTGTCCTGTTTGAAGGTGAACCTTCGCCCCAGTCTGAGTTCCTGAGCGCTCTGGAGCAGGTTTTCATCAAGGATCTCTCTGTACTTTGCTCCGTTCATCTTTCCCTCAATCCTGACTAGACTCCCAGTCCCTGCCGCTGAAAAACATCCCCACAGCATGATGCTGCCACCACCGTGCTTCACCATAGAGATGGTGCCAGGCCAGATCTTGGTTTCATCAGACCAGAGAATCTTGTTTCTCATGGTCTGAGAGTCCTTTAGGTGCCTTTTGGCAAACTCCAAGCGGGCTGTCATGTGCCTTTTACTGAGGAGTGGCTTCCGTCTGGCCACTCTACCATAAAGGCCTGATTGGTGGAGTGCTGCGGAGATGGTTGTCATTCTGGAAGGTTCTCCCATCTCCACAGAGGAACTCTGGAGCTCTGTCAGAGTGACCACCGGGTTCTTGGTCACCTACCTGACCAAGGCCCTTCTCCCCCGATTGCTCAGTTTGGCCGGTAGAGTGGCCAGCTCTAGGAAGAGTCTTGGTGGTTCCAAACTTCTTCCATTTAAGAATTATTGAGGCCACTGTGTTCTTGGGGACCTTCAATGCTGCAGAATTTTTTTTGGTACCCTTCCCCTCGACACAATCCTGTCTCGGAGCTCGACTGACAATTCCTTCGTCCTCATGGCTTGGTTTTTGCTCTGACATCCACTGTCAACTGTGGGACCTTATATAGACAGGTGTGTGCCTTTCCAAATAATGTCCAATCAATTGAATTTACCACAGGTGGACTCCAATCAAGTTGTAGAAACATCTCAAGAATGATCAATGGAAACAGGATGCACCTGAGCTCAATTTCTAGTCTGATAGCAAAGGGTCTGAATACTAAAGTAAATAAAGTATTTCTGTTTATTAAAAAAAAATTAAATATGCAAAAATGTCTAAACCTGTTTTCGCTTTGTCATTATAGGGTATTGTGTGTAGATTGAACATTTTATTTAATCAATTTTAGAATAAGGCTGTAACGTAACAAAATGTGGAAAAAGTCAAGGGGTCTGAATACTTTCCGAATGCACTATATATATATATATATATATATCACACACACACTTGATATATACACAATACATACGTGTGTAATGTATGTGTATGTGTATATATATATATATATATAATGACCAAAAGTATGTGGACACCTGCTCGTCGAACATCTCATTCCAAAATCATGGGCATTAATATGGATTTGGTCCCCCCTTTGCTGCTATAACAGCCTCCAGTCTTCTGGGAAGGCTTTCCACTAGATGTTGGAACATTGCTGCAGGGACTTGCTTCCATTCAGCCACAAGAGCATTATTGAGGTCGGGCATTGATGTTGGGCGATTATTTTTTTTATATATATATATATATATATATACACACACACACTACCAGTCAAAGGTTTGGACACACCTACTCATTCAAGGGTTTTTCTTTATTTTTACTATTTTCTTACATTGTAGAATAATAGTGAAGACATCAAAACTATGAAATAACACATGTAACCAAAAAAGTGTTAAACAAATCAAAATATATTTTATATTTGAGATTCTTCAAATAGCCACCCTTTGCATTGATGACAGCTTTGCACACTCTTGGCATTCTCTCAACCAGCTTCATGAGGTAGTCACCTGGAATGCATTTCAATTAACAGGTGTGCCTTCATGAAAGTTAATTTGTGGAATTTCTTAATGTGTTTGAGCCAATCAGTTGTGTTGTGACAAGGTAGGGTGGGTATACAGAAGATAGCCATATTTGGTAAAAGACCAAGTCCATATTATGGCAAGAACAGCTCAAATAAGCAAAGAGAAACGACAGTCCATCATTACTTTAAGACATGAAGGTCAGTAAAACCGGAAAATGTCAAGAAATGTGAATGTTTCTTCAAGTGCAGTCGCAAAAACCATCAAGCGCTATGATGAAACTGGCTCTCATGAGGACCGCCACAGGAATGGAAGACCCAGAGTTACCTCTGCTGCAGAGCATAAGTTCATTAGAGTTACCAGCCTTAGAAATTGCAGTCCAAATAAATGCTTCACAGAGTTCAAGTCACAGACACATCTCAACATCAACTGTTCAGAGGGGACTGTGTGAATCAGGCCTTCATGGTCAAATTGCTGCAAAGAAACCACTACTAAAGGACACCAATAAGAAGAAGAGGCCTGCTTGGACCAAGAAACACAAGCAATGGACATTAGACCGGTGGAAATGTGTCCTTTGGTCTGGAGTCCAAATTTGAGATTTTTGGTTCCAACCGCTGTGTCTTTGTGAGACACAGTGTGGGTAAACAGATTAACCTCCGCATGTATAGTTCCCACTGTAAAGCATGGAGGAGGAGATGTTATGGTGTGGGGGTACTTTGCTGGTGACACTGTGATTTATTTAGAATTCAAGGCACACTTAACCAGCATGGCTACCACAGCATTCGGCAGCGATACGCCATCCCATCTGGTTTGGGCTTAGTGGGACTATCATTTGTTTTTCAACAGGACAATGACCCAACACACCTCCAGGCTGTGTAAGGGCTATTTGACCAAGATGGAGAGTGATGGAGTGCTGCATCAGATGACCTGGCCTCCACAATCCCCCAACCTCATACCAATTGAGATGGTTTGGGATGAGTCGGACGGCAGAGTGAAGGAAAAGCAGCCAACAAGTGCTCAGCATATGTGGGAACTCCTTCAATACTGTTGGAAAAGCATTCCGGGTGAAGCTGGTTGAAATAATTCCAAGAGTGTGCAAAGCTGTCATCAAGGCAAAGGGTGGCTACTTGATTTGTTTAATACTTTGTTTGTTTACTATATGATTCAATATGTGTTATTTCATATTTTTGATGTCTTCACTATTATTCCACAATGTAAAAATAAAGAAAAACCATTGAATGAGTAGGTGTGTCCAAACTTTTGACTGGTACTGTATGTGTTTGTGTGTATATAGATAGATATATATATATATATATATATATGTGTTAGTTAGGTCAACAGATGCTTATCAAGCAGTATTCAAGATGCCCATCTTATTTTTGAATAGGACGCACTAACGTTGGTCATGCAAAAGACAATTTACTGTCAAATGCCAGCAAGAGTTGCAGCCAGACGGAATGATTCGAACTTCAGCTTTTGGAACAATCAGCCTGCACAATTATTTGCTCTCTGCTTTGTTAGTTTAGGATTCAACTTAGCAAACCATATTGACATATTTGATTAGCATAAATGCCATAAATCTTTATACTGTATGTTAGTTTTTGAAGTATTGTGGCATTCATTAAGTGGCCTGGCTGACCCAGACCACGGGGAGGACTTCCAGTTCGCTTAGCCAGGCAAATTAATTGGCGCTATGTATATATATTTGTTTGGCTAATTTACACTAATTATCATTAATTGATTCGCTATATATATTTAAATGGAAAATGTATGCACTCACTAACTGTAAGTCGCTCTGGATAAGAGCGTCTGCTAAATGACAAAAAAAAAAAAAAATATATATATATATATATATATATATATATATATATATACATACAGTACCGGTCAAAAGTTTGGACACACCTACTCATTCAAGGGTTTTTCATAATTTCTACAATTTCCGACATTGTAGAATAATAGTGAAGACATCAAAACTATGAAATAACACCAATGGAATCATGTAGTAACCAAAAAAGGGTTAAAAAAATCTAAATATATTTTAGATTCTTCAAATTAGCTACCCTTTGCGTTGATGACAGCTTTGCGCGCTCTTGGCATTCTCTTAACCAGCTTCATGAGGAATGCTTTTCCAACAGTCTTGAAGGAGTTCCCACATATGCTGAGCACTTGTTGGCTGCTTTTCCTTCACTCTGCAGTCCAACTCATCCCAAACCATCTCAATTGGGTTGAGGTCGGGTAATTGTGGAGGCCAGGTCATCTGATGCAGCACTCCATCACTCTCTTTCTTGGTCAAATAGCCCTTACACAGCCTGGAGGTGTGTTGGGTCATTCTCCTGTTGAAACCAAATGATGAGCTGTTCTTGCCATAATATGGACTTGGGTCTTTTACCAAATAGGGCTATCTTCTGTATACCAGCTCTACCTTGTCACAACACAACTGATTGGCTCAAACGCATTAAGAAGGAAAGAAATTCCACTAATTAACTTTTAACAAGGAACACCTGTTAATTGAAATGCATTCCAGGTGACTACCTCATGAAGCTGGTTGAGAGAATGCCAAGAGTTTGCAAAGCTGTCATCAAGGCAAAGGGTTGCTACTTTGAAGAATCTCAAAAATAAAATATATTTGTTTTGTTTAACACTTTTTTTGGTTACAACATGATCCCATGTGTGTTATTTCATAGTTTTGATGTCTTCACTGTCATTCTACAATGTAGAAAATAGTTTTAAAAAATAAAGAAAAACCCTGGAATGTGGTGTGTCAACTTTTGACTGGTACTGTATCTGTGCATATATATTTATATATGAGTGTATATACATACATACATGTGTACAAAACATTAAGAACATCTTAATA